CAGAGAACCCTGATTGCTTTTTGGGCTGACGAGGGAGGGGGACTTGATTGGGGGAGGGGGAGGGAAATGGGAGGCGGCGGTGGGGAAGAGACAGAAATCTTTAATAAATAAATAAATAAATAAATTTAAAAAAAATTAAAAAAAAATAAAGCAAATGGCATCGTGTGGGCCTTACCATCTAGTTTGTGGTCAGCTAATTCTGTGTCACTGTCGTGGACTAAGATCGTCGGGGTCAGGTGGAGCACTTTAAAGTAAACTGAATTCTGTAGCACTAGAGGTTGATTAAGGGGTGATAGAGAATCTGGCTAAAGACAAGAAGACAGCATTTGAAAGGTCACTGGCGCCATCAGGAGGAACCCCGTGATGTCAGAAATGTTTCAGGATGCCAGTGCCAAGCAGAGGTACAGCCCTGAGCTCCCATGCCTTTAAGGTGGGAGTGTGCATGGACAGAGGAATTCTTTCATTACATCAGATGGAAGAGAGAGGGCTGCTCTTACCGCTTCCAGACGCCAAGCTGCAGGAGGTGCAGCGACACCAGCCACCAGTGACCCCGATGCCCATCCGCGCGGAACCACAGATAGCTCAGGGCCTGGACCAGGATGCCGGGCAGGAGCAGAGAAAGGGCCAGCCACCCCCAGAGGAGGTGACCTGTGGAGAAGTAGTAAACAATGGCGCAGAGACCTGGGGGGAGAGACGATATGAGGGTGTTGGTGTTGAAGGGACAGAGTTAGGCGACCGCTTTCTAAACACTAGATCTCTCTTGTTACAGTGCTTGTCCTCAAAACCTTCCTGCCACAGACAGCAGCGTTCTTCCAGGAACGCACCCAGGATAAGGATGCTAGCCAGCTGACAGCTCATTTTACGTCCATGCACCGTGGGACTTCTCTGCCCTGGCCAGTCCAAGGTCAGGGGCCAAGAGAATAGGGACCTCCCTTAAGGCCAAAGCCCACAGAAACTACCCACAGAAGACCACGTCCTCCGAATCTTTTTACCCTGTCTTGTCTGAGGAAGCCCTGCCAAAGTTTCTGGCTTCTGGTCAAATGAGTATTCCCAAATGGCATGCCCTGCCTCTATAACCCTGGGACCTGTGAGCGTTCCTAGGCTTGTCCCGACTCCTTGTCCACTAGGCCATTTAACAAAAACCAAAGGTTCCAAAGCAACCCTACACAGCATCTTTACTATTAACAAAGAGTCAGCAGAACCTGCTAGAAATAAGACAGGCACAAGGGTAGTGGCCGTGTGTGGGGTTGTCTGTGAGGTTACACAGAACATGTGCCAAGGACCTGAATGTACGGGGAGCCCCAGGGATGTGGGAGCCGATAGCATGGAGTGATCTCATCCTCCCCACGCTGTTGCTGCCTATCAGAGCCTCTTGTTAGAATTGAGTCACGTTCTGAGTAAGGCTGGCTTTGTCCTCTCTTTTGATTTGGGGTCCTAGGACTTGAACTCAGGGCTGTGCCTATGCTAGGTAAGGTCTCCACCACTGATCTCCCCCAGGCCGCTTTTCCACCTTGTTTTGAGACAATGTTCTGCTAAGTTGCTCAGACCAGCTTTGACCTTTCTGTAGCCTAGCTGGCTCTAGAGCTGTCCATCCAGCCCACCCTCTCCAGTGGCCTGGGTTATCCAGCAGAGATCTGGCCATGTAACATTGGCATCAGGAAGGAACTGTGTTGGTACTGCTGATTACTGAGGACAGCAGTGGAGGGCACCCAGCCATCCTTTCACACGACTGTCGCTGGCGTTTTCCAGTATTCACAAGGAATTCGGATCTGCAGGCACAAGCCCAAGGCTCCAAGGCACAGCTGGGAACCAAGCAGCTATGGGCAGAGGAATTGCTGCCATTCCTTTCTTGGCCTGAGGTTCTGTCGAGTGCTCTAACTCCATGAGCTCCCTGCTAAGCATTCAACCCTTCCCTGTTAGAAAGCTAGGGTGTCTGGGTCACTTTGGGCAGCCCTGAGCATCCTGGTTTCTCCAGGTGCAGTCTAGCGCCCTTTGGAATTCTGAGCGGGTGACGGAACAGGAATTTGCAGGGACTACGTTGCAAATTAAAAGTAAATTTCAGAGGTATCGTGTCCAAGAGGGCACTCGGAACCTTGGAAATTCAGGATGGTGGAGGAACCTTAGAGGTTAAGGATGGTGGAGTCTCTTCAGGGGCAAGGCCTTGTAGGACAGTGGCGGAAGTGGGCAGAAGCACTAGACGCCAGCACCGAAAGGGTTACGAGTTCAAACGTGAAAGGCGCGAAAAGTATGGCCATATTGTTTCACCTCCACCGCCCACAGGACCCGTGTGCCCAGCAGTCAGCGGTCTGCCCTGTCCCAAACCCCAAAGGGAAATCAGTGCCCTTTGGGATACCAACCCTCCACTCTCCCAGCCCTCGGCTCACACCGGCAACCCCAGCCAGGAGCCCGGGTGACCAGGGAGCCAGGGCACCTCACCAAGCGCTGGAGCTCCACGCAGCCTCCTCACGCAGCGTGGGCTGGAGCAAATAGCGGACAGGGATTCAGGACCCCGGGTTTGGGGTGTGGAGAGGATCCATATCATGCACTGAGGGGTGTCTGCATGGGTGGAGGGAATCATGCATCAGTGAGGGGATCGCACCGGGAGTGCTCTGCAGGCTGGGAGGGGAGCTACTGTGTGTGCACCGGGCGGCAGTTTGCCGTCTGCTGGGACAGCAGTGGCAGACGTGCCCCGCACACTGGATTGGAGTGGGGTGTTGGAGGGGTGAGCATTCGCGGGCTGCGCTGCACTCACGCGCACTTTGCTCGGCCGCTTGCAGCAGGGCAGAGAGTCCCAGGAGCCCCGCGTACATCTTCTGCGCTGCTGCCTCCTGCGCCCGCCCCTTCCCCTGCCCGCCACCGAGCAGGGGAGGCTTCCGGCCTGGGGCCCCAAGGCTTTTCGTCCAAGCTAGCGGAGTGGGGGTGAGGGCGGGGACGTCGGGATGGGGGTGGACAGGTTCTTAGGCAGCAGTCTCACTTGATCTGTGCCAAATTTGTATGCTGTCCCCTTCTCCCCGCCAACATCCTAAGGGTTGGAGGGCACAGTGGGTTTGTTGTGAGGTGCAAAAGTTTAGTCACTGGGTGATTACAGTGGTCACAGTCAGAGGATTTGCTCAGATTGGTTAACCACAAATCAGGGTACAGTGGAGTGTGTGTGTGTGTGTGTCTTGGAAAAGTGGGATTTGAATAGCTGATTGAGTCTTTTGAAATCTTTCAGTTGTGTGGCCCGAAAGGGAAAGGCAGGCTACATTCCCGCCTTTAACAGCCGTTTTGCTAACAGACCTTTCCCGAGGAATCCTTGCCGGTTAATCCAGTTCCCCCAAAGTCAGAAGTAAACCTGCCCAAGGAAAGTCTTCTGGGAGATGGAAAAGCATCACCCTTGCATGTGTTACAAGGCAGCAGTTATGTAGAACGTGAACTCCTGATGTCCGAGTTGGGGGGAGGTTGTGAAGGGAGATAGTTTATAACCACCGAGCAAAGAGGACTTGGTAAGAAAAGTTACTGAGACCAGGTCTACAGAGATTCTGCCCAACAGGACCTAACAGAATTCCCGAGAAGGAGCAATTAAGCCTGGGAAGAAACACTGTTCGTGATTGGTGTGAGACGGGGAACATCGCAGTATGCTTTACAGCCTTACAACATTGTCCCCAATTTCTAGGTGTATGGTTTGAGAAATAGCTACATATCCCATATTTTATCTGTTAAAACCAGTCCAAGGAGGACAAAGTGGAGCATCAGGACATGGGCTGCCTCTCTGCTCTGCCTTGTGTGCTGTGCACAGTGTGGAGGGTCACCTCCCTCAGACTCTGCGTGTTGTAAATACAGAACACAGAAGGAGCTGCCGGAAGACACAGCAGGGAATTCCAGCTGGGATTTTCTATCTGATTTGAGGGTTGTGTGGTAAAGGAGGGTGATCATGGACATGATCATGGACAGCCCCCTGTGCCTTTAACCTCCCTTCTCTCTGCCTTCTTTTTCTTCAAATCACTTAGATCACCTAACTACTCCCCCCCATGTGGTAATATGTCTCTTTTCACTAGTATATTATGAGAGGAGGGAAGAGCCTTCACCTGACAGTTGACATTTTGCCCCTGGGCCTGACTTAGGGGAGATTGTTGTGAGAGACTTTTCCTGAGGAGATATAACATGACTGACAAAAGTAATGGCCGCACCAATGTCCAACTTGGTGAAACAATTAGTTCTTACTGGGGTTCCTCACAGGAGTATGAGGGAGGGGTTACTTACAGGAGCAGGAATGACTCAGAAGCTACTGTATCATCAGAGAGCGCACTTTGAGGTGAGCTTAGGTTCCTTCTGCAGGGTCCAAATGGCTTTAGCCTGGAGATGTTGGTATTGTTACCCCTCATGATGACCGGGGAAGACGATTCATGAGGAAAAGGAAGCTCAGTTGAGAGATTCCTTGTAGTCTCAAGACTCTCCACACTCACAGGGACCACAGGTGGTGGGGGCGCAGGGCTTTAATTCAAGTGCTTGGGAGGCAGGTTGATCATTGTGAGTTTGAGGCCAGCTTATCTCAGTGAGTTCCAGAACAGCCAGGGTAGTTACACAGAGAAACTCTGTCTCATAAAAAATAAAGCTGAACATTAATAAAAACAAAACAAAAAAAATCCAAAAAACTCTCCACACTCTTGGTGAGTTCCAGGCCCCGCCCAGCTGATATGGCCTGGTTGGATTGTTGGTGGCCTCTCTCTGGATGAAAATCTGGCTTCTCAGTCTGAGGAGCTCTCCTCAAGGCAGGAAGAATTCCTTCCACACAGGATATGTCTAAGCCCAGGATATGTCATATCCCAGAGGGTGATGTGAGCAGTCTGTGAGTAGCCAGGCATCTCTATGAGATTTGTCTTTCTTTCCAGGGGGCTCCTTGTAGACTCTGGAGGTTGGTGATTCAGGCCTCTCAACCAGGATATGTTCCTGCTTACCCATCAGGCATAGGACCAGATCTCTGTTCCATTTGAATCCTCTATCCCCAGGCTTTTCTGGGTGTTCCACCAATTGGTGTTGAGACTTACCTGCCATACTGCAAGGCATCAGTAAGAGAAGGTAGTGGATCCTCATGGTTCCCATTGGGTCCAGAGCAGAGAGGACAGACTGCCATGATGCTCAGGGGATGTGACAACTCGAGACCTGAGTGTGGCCTTGTTTTAATGGGGATGGGATTTCCTATGCTCATAGACACCCTTAAGGGAGGAGCTGCATCTCAGAGTGAAGCCCTGAGGTCTAACCTCCTGCAATTTGTCTGGAGGCTTCTGTAATTCTGAGAATATATTTCTGGATGCGATTTGATTTAGCTCTCATCTTTGGAACCCTGGGCCAGTGCCTGTTGTCAGGCATCCCCATGTGTGAGTCAGTGAGGTAGTGTGAGGAAACCTAGCATTCCAAGCATGTGACTTATGATGCAAGTGGAGCTCTTAACCAACGGAATAATGTCAGATGTTCCAGGGACATGAAAGCTTCTTTGTACTGTCCACACGGACACTGAGTGAGTCTCTGGTCCTAACTCACTACAGGACCACCTTGTCTGATGGAGTATATCCAGAGAGCACCAATTCATAACCCCAGTGACTATGGGGCCGGGGTTGAATCTCTCACTGGGTACACATGTGACCTTTCTGTGGGAAGACCTTACAGGCTAAGAATACTTTCCGCACAAGGCATGCCCTTTGTATACAGCTAAAACACGGGAAGAAGGTGAGTGTCTGCCTGTGAGTAAGCCTGCATCCATACCCAGGACAGTCTCATCCCTATGTTTCATCCCTGTGTGAGGGGACAGCTCATAGATTTTGAAGGTTGTCACTTTATGTCTTCCAGCTAGGGTGAGCGCTCCTGGTGTTCTGCCTGTGACTATTGTCCCCCATTTTCCTGTGCCCTTGCAACCCTGGCTTTGCCAATGCTTCAAGGTCTGCTAGGCTCACCTGGGTGGTCTGGGAGAAGAAGCTGAGCATCAGAACGAGACAGCAAAGGATCTTCATCATTTTCACCTTGTATAGAATGCAGAGAGGAAGAGAGACTCACCCCTGAGATGCCCATTGGACAGCAGTGTCCCTAAGCCCAGTTGTGGCCATATTTATTTATTTATTTTAATATTTATTATGTATACAATATTCTGTCTGTGTGTATGCCTGCAGGCCAGAAAAGGGCACCAGACCCCATTACAGATGGTTGTGAGCCACCATGTGGTTGCTGGGAATTGAACTCAGGACCTTTGGAAGAGCAGGCAATGCTCTTAACCACTGAGCCATCTCTCCATCCCAGCAAGCATTTTTTTTTATTTTTTTTAATATTTATTATGTATGCAATATTCTGTCTGTGTGTATGCCTGCAGGCCAGAAGAGGGCACCAGACCCCATTACAGATGGTTGTGAGCCACCATGTGGTTGCTGGGAATTGAACTCAGGACCTTTGGAAGAGCAGGCAATGTTCTTAACCTCTGAGCCATCTCTCCAGCCCTGTGGCCATATTTATAAGGAGCAAGATTGCGCAGCTCTCGTTCCAGAGCACGACATTGCTATCAAGAGTGAAGCTCCAATAAAGATCCCCCCTGCCCTTCCAGGAGCCTACAGTCCCGTGGGCAACATATCTTTATCCTGGATACCCCAAGTCAGTGCCTCCTTCCAGACCTGTTACATTTCCCGGTGTGGGGTGCTTGGGTAATTCCGGCAAGAATTTCCACACTAGGGACCTTACTGCAGCAGGGACTCCAAGAACCTGTCTGAGGAGGCTCAGCACTCAAAGCAGCTTTCTCATGTGTTGATTCAGACCAGTGCTGTGTGGTGCTGTATAATTTTCTGCCAGTAGGGGTCTCAGCAGCTTCATTTTTTGCCAATGGACTTGAAGTCCCACAATGGGACTCAGAACGTGAACTCCCAGCACGACCAGCAGAGGGCAGCAGTGCATGCCACTCTGAACCATAACTACAGTTTTTAATTCTGTTAAGTAGTTTCTCAAGTCTGCTGAAGATCCCATTGGCTCCCCCCGATTTTAAAATAATATTTTAAACTTATTGCTTGAGAAATTCATGGTGTATGTTGTGTGTTTTCTCTATACCGGCCCCCATTCCTTCTTGTAACCACTTTAGCAACAAGAAGGCATACTTCAAAGAATGATTGACTTTATTAAGAGGGTGATTATAAAGAATTCCACGTGGCCTTTTGAATCTTTTAGCTTTCAGCTAAACAAGCTGCACCAGCGTGTTCCACTAAGACAGGTGCTTATTTGCTTTGGAAGTGAATAGAGTGAATTGGGGTAACATTTTCCTAGTGTTCTGACAGTCTTTAGAGACAGGGCAGCAATAGTGCCCTTCACCTCCTTTGCAACAGCTGCAGTGATAAGAAGAGAAGAAAAATGTAGGAGGTCGCTTGTGGGAAAAAAAAATAAGGCGAAGTCAGAGAGATGCCATGTAGCCCAGCCCAGAGACAGATGCTGGGGATAAAACTTTACCTGGTAAGCCACAGCCACATGGCAATACACAGATTAATGGAGATGGGCTAGTTTAGGATGTAAGACCTAGCCAATAAGAAGCTAGAGCTAATAGGCCAAGCAGTGATTTAATTAATGCAGTTTCTCTGTGGTTATTTTGCTTCAGGGCAGCCAGGAACAAACAAATGGCCTCCCCAAACAGAGAAACCCTTCACCCCTTTGAAGCAACTACAGTGAGAAGGAGGGCAAGTTCCAGGACAGGCTTCAAAGCTGTGCAGAAAAACCCCGTCTCAAAAAACCAAAGGGGGAAGAAAAGCAGGTTGAGCATGCAATGAGGAGCAAGACAGTAAGCAGCACCCTTAGGGGCTCTGCACCAATCACTGCATCA